CAGCACCTGGAGCAGTAGACTCACGAGCACCTAGAGCAGCAGCCTCACCAGCACCTGGAGGAGGAGACGTACCAGCATCTAGAGCAGCAGCCGCACCAATACCGAGAGCAGCAGACTGGAGACCGGGGTCGGGCGGCACACACAGGTAACAGGCACCCTTAGCACTAGTAGGCAATGCATACATGGCAGTGAGGATAGCATCATAGTCAAGAGCATAGATATCTACCCTCTGCCTAAGCAGCTCCACCCAGACGGGGAGCTCAGCCGCGTCGCCAAACTCTGTACGTCAGGCGTCGCTCAGACGGGCGAAGCAGCGGGACTCTGTGTGACCAAACGTGGTTGGCTAGTCCTAGCACCAGTGCGAATGACGTACGGGCAGCGAGCAGAACCCCGTGACCCTCCATGCTGAGCGTACCACTCACGAAGTTGCGGGGGCGAAGGGACCGCGCGCACACGACGCTGTAGCTGCACCTGGCCACTACAAGAAGCTCCTGAACTACTCACTCCAGAACGACTCCCACTACGGCCACCCCGACAACCCCAACGAGCGTACCACTCACGAAGCTGTTGGGGTGTGAGGGACTCACGCGGACGGCGCTGGAGCTGCATCTGGCCACGCCAGGAGCAGCAGTAGCAGTAGAAAGCGCAGTAGGAGTAGGAGCAGCACGAGCAGTAGTAGCAGCAGGGGCAGCAGTAGCAGCAGTAGCAGCAGTAGCAGTAGAAAGAGCAGTAACAGCAGGAGTAGCAGTAACAGCAGGACGGGCAGGGCAGTGCTCACCAGTGACGAGAAGGGCAGGCGTACGACTACGGCAACAGCGAGGCCGCTTCCAATGCAGGGCGAGGTCTCCGCGGCAGCTGCAGAGGAGGCTGCTCCAGGGGCGGCTGCTCCAGGGGCAAGGGGGCGGCTGCTGCAGGGGCGGCTGCTCTAGGGGCCAGGCGCGGCTGCTCCAGGGGCCACGGGCGGCTGCTGCAGGGGCGGCTACTCCAGGGGTCATGGGCGGTTGCTGTAGGGGCGGCTGCTGTAGGGGTGGCTGCTCCAGGAGCCAGGGGCGGCTGCTGCAGGGGCGGCTGCTCCAGGGGCCAGGGGCGGCTGCTGCAGGGGCGGCTGCTCCAGGGGCCAGGGGCGGCTGCTGCAGGGGCGGCTGCTCCAGGGGCCAGGGGCTGCTGCTGCAGGGGCGGCTGCTCCAGGGGCCAGGGGCGGCTGCTGCAGGGGCGGCTGCTCCAGGGGCCAGGGGCGGCTGCTCCAGGGGCCAGGGGCGGCTGCTCCAGGGGCCAGGGGCTGCTGCTGCAGGGGCGGCTGCTCCAGGGGCCAGGGGCGGCTGCTCCAGGGGCTAGGGGCGGCTGGTGCAGGGGCGGCTGCTCCAGGGGCCACGGGCGGCTGCTCCAGGGGCCAGGGGCGGCTGCTGCAGGGGCGGCTGCTCCAGGGGCCACGGGCGGCTGCTGTAGGGGCAGCTGCTCCAGGGGCCAGGGGCGGCTGCAGAGGTCCACGGGCGGCTGCTGCAGGGGCGGCCGCTGCAGGGGCGGCTGCTGCAGGGGCGCGGGTTAGGTCAGAGCGCCGCGGCGGGCAGGGGCGACGCCGCGCGGGTCCCGCAGGGGCGTCGCGACGAGCGGGGGCGACGCCCGGGTCCCGTTGGGGCGTCGCGATGCGCAGGCGTCGCGCCTCGCGGGTCCTGCAGTAACGTCGCGACGAGCGGGGGCGACGTCCGGGTCCCGTTGGGGCGTCGCGACGCGCAGGCGTCGCGCCTCGCGGTTCCCGCAGGGGCGTCGCGATGAGACGGGGACGACGCGCGGGTCCCGCTGAGGCGTTGCGACGAGGGAGGGGGGATGCCCGGGTGGCGACGAGGCGGGGCCGTGACTTGTGACGGGGCGGGGCCGCTACGGGCAACGGGGCGGGGCCGCGAAGGGGCCGCGAAGAGGCCGCTGAAGGGCCGCTAAGGGGCAGCTAAGGGGCCACTAAAGGGGCCGCGAAGGGGGCCTCTAAGGGGCAGCGAAGTGGCCGCGAGAGGGGGCCGCTAAGGGGCCGTGAAGGGGGAGCCTCTAAGGGGCAGCGAAGGGGCCACGAGAGGGGGCCGCTAAGGGGCCGCGAAGGTGGCCGCTAAGGGGCAACGAAGGGGCCGCTAAGGGGCCCCCGTGAAGGGGCCACTAAGAGGTCGTTAAGGGGCAGGCCACTAAGGGGCCGCGAAGTTTTCCGGGCAGGACGCGAAGCGCGTTCAGGGCAGACTAAAAAAAATAATCAAAGGTGGGCCCTTGGAAGAAACGGTCCCACTAGGGAACCCGCTCTATACCATGTGAAGAATGAGGAATGGATGGACTAAGGAATGTGAGGGGTACAAGTATGAAACCCTAGGAAACCGTACCCCTTAGTGTCTACCCCACTAGAGCCTAGATAGACTATAGCATATGAGTTTGACAACCTGAACCTGCACCCAACCATCTCGCGAATCCGCGACTTCGGCCTAGCTAGCACCACTATAGTAGTCGTAGGCCTTATGACTTGCTCAGTAGTTGTAATCATTTCCGCGATATTGCATCCTGCGCACTCTTCTCTTTTACAACTCATGGCAAGTGTACTTTTCCGAAATTATGAATACGAACTGAACAGAAATTGTACGTCATTCCTAGTCCGAATTTCTGCCGAATCGCACGCGGGTGTTGCATTTGTTTCTTCGGCCGATGGATGAACAAAACTGTCCATCGTTCGTCACACCCAAGGTATTGCATTGAGAGTTTTGCTCAATTCCGCGGAATCGCGGTTCGTTTTATTTTCGCCACGTGGCATGCCTTCGATCGTGGGAACCGCGATCTGATTTATTGTTCCCACAATTTCTAAAAGAAAATATAGTTAGGCTTAGTGAGAGCGTGTTCCTATCCTCGTATCAAGATAACCTCGTATCAGGCTCACACTGAAAATTCCTCTAAACTTAAAACCTCTCGCTAGTTTTACCAAGCAAAAACAGCATTCTTGATACGAGGTTTCCTGATATGAGGCCGTAGGAACACGCTCTGAGTCACATGTACTGCCCTGCCCGCGGACAAAAATAAAACCCCTAAAGGAAAAACATGCATTAGGAATGCATCAACCCGAAACACATTGAGGCAAGGTGTTTAAGGTTGATGCCTCCCTAACGCATGCCATGCCCAAATGGGCTTTATTTTTGCCCGTGGGTAGCGCGGTACAAAACTTAACAAAGTTTCTCTTGAACTTTGTGGGAACAATAAAACAGATCGCGGTTCGCGCGATCGAAGGCTTGCCACGTGGCGAAAATAAAACGAACCGCGCTTCCGCGGAATTGAGCAAAATTCTCTATTGCATTGCTAGGTGCAGTAAAAGGAAGCTCATATCACCTTCCTTCACCTCCACGTCTTGTGGTGAGGGCGGGTCCAGCGCGTACGTTTTCAGGTACTTTACAGTTCATTCGTCGTGGTTTGAAAAGATATCAGACGGTGCACAGTGGTTTTAAGATTGCACCGTTGTGAACCGTGACGCAATACAGATTACCGCACTGGATGAACTGTAATGTACGGAAAACGTACGCGCTGGACACGCCCTGAGAATGTCCCACAGGCCACAGCTTTCAAGCTTAGGAAGGTTGGTTGGTAGTAAAATGCTATTGGCCCGCGAATCAGCACATCATCGAAATTGGAATGTCGAGTGTCGCTGACAAGAGTCTCACCATGGTTACCTTGCTTCACAAATGAGTCGTCCAAGAGAAAATTTGCGACCATTTCCATCGCGCGAAGGTTGGATGGTCGTTCAGGACGCGGCACCAGTTTTCATTTTGCCAGGATCGATCGTGGGAGGGGATAGATGTGCCGCTTGTACAGTGTATTGGCGACATCGCCAATGCCTGGTATCTGTTTTTCGCTGAACGTCGAGAATGTACAGTAAACGGGTACCCAAATAGGTGGCACATGCAGCTCGCACGATCGATGTGCCATGGTGCATGTGTTAGGGTTGGCGGGAGAGCATATCGCGCCACAGGTGACAGCCTCGATCGATCGGCGTCGCCCACGGTCGCAGGCCAAAAAATCTTGGGTCGCTGCGAATGGAATTGCTGGACGACCATCCACGCTCTGCCCTGATTGTTGCGCGTTTAAGTGTACTGGCAGCTCTAACCTGCAATTTCGATCCTGGCACTTGTAGCTCAATGTGTCTACCCCACTGCAAATTTGCAGTGTGGGCACATCGGTGTGCCGATCGATATTCCAGGATCGATGTGAGGCCATGATCCTTGTAAAATGAAAACAGGTGCCGCGTCCTAAGTACTCGATGCAATCCTTCCCCTGGATTACTCTTTCACGTAATAGGAGCACAAATCGTGCTTTACTAGGCCGATCAAGTCAGTAGCTAGGAGAAGCTATTTGAACAGCGCCAATCGGTGGAATGATACAGCCAACACCCACTCACGCTAGATGAATGTTGCAGGTCATAGGCTTATCGCGAGTGAGAGTACGCCCTTAAGCGATTTCCGGTAATCATTGGTGTTCCGTCCCTCCCGCTTATTTCCCGTCCCACGCGCCGCAACTCCCTACCCTAACGCCACGATTCCCGTCCCTCCGCCCAGCTATTCCCTTCCCATCGCGATACTTTTTCCGCGGCCCGATTATACCGTCCCGTAGCGCGCCTATTCTCTGGCTCGGACGTCTGTGCCCCCCCCCCACCCCTTCCCCCCCCATGTGTGGGGGGAAACGGTTTCGTCGCGCTGCAGTTCCGTTCAATCGCGTGTAACGCCACTTACACACCCGTGAAACGCGTGTCTCCCGCCGCAAATTCCCCGTCTCCCATCGGCTGTCCGTACGCACACTCTGTCGCTCTTTTTCCAGCACGATGCCACTCCCTACCACACACGCTTACATTCCCTTTGCCACACGATGCCTTTCCAACCACCCCCCACGCTGCCATTCCCTTCCTCTGTTGCTGCCTCCACCTTTCTCCTAAGCTGCCATTGTCTCCCCCTCTTGCTGCTCATCCCTACCCTCACGCTCTCCAAGCGCTTCCCATGAAGACGGAACCTAAACTCCGACCCGTCGGCTTCACCCCCCTCTCCCGTTGCTCTTCACTTCCCTCTCGCATTGCTCTTCACTTCCCTCTCCCGTTGCTCTTCACTTCCCTCTCCCGTTGCTCTTCACTTCCCTCCACCGTCGTCCTTGCTCCCCCCTGCTATCACCCTGCTCATTCTCCCGTCGCCCTCTCTTCCCTGGCTCACCCTGTTTCCCCTACTCCTTCTCTTCTCCCTGTCTCACTCTGTCTGCCTCCCCTGCTCATTCTCTTCCTCCTCTCCCCCCCAAGGGCCCACCCACTCTTCCTCAAGTTGTTGGTTCACTTGTGCTAACGCCTCCCGTACCCTGGGCTCCCCTTTTTCCCACTCCCACCATCCTCTTTCCACCCCCTCCTCTCCCCCTTCTCCTGCAGTCGCTGGTGCAATTGCTCCATCGGTGAGTGTGGGCCAGCAGCATCACCAGCGCCTCTGCCTCGCTACTCCTCGCCTTCCCCCGCCTGCTCTCCTCCAACCTCGCCTGGACTGCCCTCTCCCACCACCCGTCCACCTCTCCCTCACTGCCCTGCTCGTCCCCCACTGCCCGTTCCCTACCATTGGCTTCCCTCTCCCCTCCTCCTCATCCTGTCCCTCCGCCTCATCTCCTTCCTCCGCTCACTCCTCCGCTTCCTCCACCCCCCTCACTCATCTCGGTCTCTCTGGTGCCTCAGTCGCTCCTCCCTCCTCCCTCTTCCCCTCCCACGAGCTCGCCTCTTTCACTCACTTGGACCCCTCCCACTCGCGCGGCGCCACACTTCCTACTCCGCACCTCACCACCCTCCACCGCACTCCAATCCTCCTCCACGCCCTCACACCCCGCCGTGCGGCTAGCATTGGTTACAAGCAGCAGTATCCCCTACGCACCTCCACCTCTCTACTGCTGCTGACTTTGACGCCCTAGTGTAACACTAGCGGGCCTGGCATACGGCAGTGCCTCGTCCGCAGCGAGGTCGGTCGACGCGCGGACGGATCAGAATCGCGGCCTTTATTATATTATACGCTTCCCCGCCTCGGAACGCGGCGCTGTATCGGAGACGCGGGCGGGAATGAGCAGCGATACCGATGAGGTGAGGGGGGGGAAATCGCAGGGGCAGTGAGTGGGTGCCCCTGAATGATTGGGGGTGGGTGCAGTGGGTTGTTGAGAGGAGGGGATAAGCGTCGAGCGTGGGGAGGGGAGCATATCACCAGATGCTTGTAAGTGGGGAATTCACGCTAACCTCGCCACCCCCGCTCCAGAGTTGGTACCTGCAGACTATTTCTCCTCTTTCACCTCGCCGCGAACATCTCAACCATTTTTCACCATTGGGGACGTGTGGCGTAGGGGAAGGATACTTACTCGTATGCTTCTAGAGTCGTTTTTAACAATAGTGCGCCGACGTGGTGTAGTTGATGGTGCGGCAGGACCGGGGGGGCCGGGAGAGGCAATGGGGACAGAGGCAGGGAATTGGGTGGTGACGGAGGGCAGATGGGGGCGGGGCAGGGGGAGGCCACGTGTTGGGCAGGACAGCCGAGCGAGCGGCGGCTGAGGGAGAGTCAATACTGGGCAGGTATGCGAGCCAAGTGTCCACCTAGCATGCTCTGTCTTTGCTCGGCCACACACCCACGCTCTTCCGGTCCTCTTCTCACGCACACAGCTTGCTTTTTTCTCCATTGCTCTATCACACACCGTGCACTATCTGTCCCTCGCTCGCTCACACACCTGGTGCCATCTGTCCCATGCACACGGGGTCCTCTCTATTACTATGTCGATCCTGGCTCACTATGTCCTCCCTTCACTCTCCACCCGTGCCCTTTCTCCGACTTGCGGGGATTAGGTCCTTTGCTCAACCCGCGTTGCCCGCATCGACGCCATAGCCTTGGGCCTCGCAACATACATTCACCGCCATTCAGCACTCTGGTCCGACTATGTGTCGAGACCCTGGCGTGGGAAGGGTTGGAAAGTGAGGAGGTGGAAGAGGAGTATGCTTCGAGAGAGTTGGGGTGGAAGGGAAGGAGTACCTTTACAATGGTAACAATGTTGGAACACATGCACGACCTTCGCGTCAGCGGTGTGCGTTTAATCGGGGTGGTTGTGTAACCGATCGTTGATTGCTATTGAATTGTAAGGTGGTCGTCGAGCATGCAAGTGGAATGGACCCGATGTACAGTACACATTTTGCAGACACTCAGATGGGGGGACGAGATAGTGCATAATGCCTTGAAGAGACCCACACCCGCCATATTGGTTACAAGGAGACCCGAGGACAGTCGACTGCACATTAGCTCCAGACAGACGAGTGCATCTACCGTATGGCATGTGTACATCTGACCCCCCTATGGGACAGGGGATAACAATGGTATGGTAGATCTGTTGTTGGCGTCTAGTGTTCATAAAAAGACCTAAAGGCTATTATCACTACAGTGCTCCACCGTAAATCCAGATGTGCATCACTTCAGAGTCCCCTTGTTCTCCCCGCACTTTGATCTCCCACCGTCTCGCTGAGATTTGGGAGGGCCAGCCGGTGATACGAATAGTGGGGTAGAATAAGCACATGTTTAGAGGGTGGGGAACGATGGAATGGGGGTTTGTACAAGAAACACCGGTCATCCCCCTCCTATCTTCTCTCGTACATGCCAAATGTGTGTGCAAGCCCCTCAACTTCCCTAACATCCTCATTCACCTTAGGTTCCTTGCATATAAATGTGATTAGATGGGGGGAACAATTGAGAGGGATAATAGGGGTAGGAACATTAGGGTAGATGATGGAGGGGGACAAAGAAAGGGGCAGGACGTGGGGGGAGGATGATTGGGGGAGCCCAAGGGGTGTTTATGAAAGGGGCAGGTCATGGTGGGGAGAATGAATGGGGAGATCGAAAATGTTAGAATGAAAGGGGCAGGTCATGGGAGGGAGAACGATAGGGGGGAGAATGGTTGGGGGGAGTTCGATGGGGGGGGGATGATAGGGGGAGCTTGATGGGGGGAACATGATTGGGGGAGCTGGATGGGGGGAGAGAGTAAAGGGAAGATCGATGGGGGGAGAATGAAAGGGAGTGCTGGATGGGGGGAGAATGAAAGGGAGTGCTGGATGGGGGGAGAATGGTAGGGGGAATTCGAAGGGGGGAGAGACATAAGGGGGGGCTGGATGGGGGGAGAGAGTAAAGGGGAGGTCGATGGGGGGAGCTCTATAAGGGGGAGAATAATAGGGGGAGTTCGATGGGGGGAGCATGGTAGGGGGAGCTGGATGGGGGGTGAATGACAGGTGGAGCTTTATGGGGGGAGTATGGTAGGGGGGAGTTCGAGAGGGGGGGGGGGGGGGGGGGGGGATAGGGGGAGCTGGATGGGGGGAGAATGATAGGGGGAGTTCGGTGGGGGGAGAAATATAGGGGGGGGCTCAATGGGGTGAGAGAGTAAACGGAAGGTCGATGGGGGGAGAATGAAGGGGGGTGCTGGATGGGGGGGGAGAGTGAAGGGGAGGTCGATGGGGGGAGAATGATGGGGGGAGCTCTATGGGGGAAGAATGGTAGGGGGAGCGAGATGGGGGGTGAGAGTAAAGGGGAGGTCGATGGGGGGAAAATGATAGGGGGAGGTGGATGGGGGGAGAGAGTAAAGGGGAGGTAGATGGGGGGAGAATGGAAGGGGTCCCTCAATGGGGGGAGACTGGTAGGGGGGGGTTCGACGGAGGGGGGGGATGATAGGGGGAGCTCGATGGGGGGGGGGGGGATGATAGGGGGAGGTGGATGGGGGGAGAGATTAAAGGGGAGGTAGATGGGGGGAGAATGGTAGGGGGAGGTCAATGGGGGGAGAATGGTAGGGATGAGTTCGATTGTGGGGGAGATGATAGGAGGAACTCGATGGAGGGAGCGTGATAGGGGGATCTAGACGGGAGGAGAATGATAGAGGGAGTTCGAAGTGGGGAGAGAGATAGGGGGGGGGATGGATGGGGAGAGAGAGTAAAGGGGAGGTCGATTGGGAGGCGCGAAAAGAAAAGGGCCGAGCGGGTCCCCCTGCCTTGATCCCCGTGCCGACTCGAGGCTCTGTACGAAAGGGCCTGCTCGGAGGTACAGGTCGCTAGGTGTCCCATCGAAAACACGCAAGAATGGGATCATCCCTGAGAAAGGCGACTCCCGCAGCCCATCGAACATCGCATGACGGTGAAACGAACTGAAGGCGTTTGCGACGTCTATCTGTAGCGCACACCAGTCGGGGTGAGTGGCCAGCGCTGACCGAAGGGAATGAGTGAGAATCTCCGCCCCGACCCTGGTGCCCGCTCCCAGCTGGTTGCACGGCAGGAAGTAGGAAACCATCGCAGGGCGGAGCGAGATGCAGAGAGCTCGAGCAAGGATACGAGGAAGCACCTCCCCGATCGCCACCGGCCGGACGTCGCTGTTAAGCTTGGAAAACCTGACTAGGTTGGATGCGGCGAGCCACGGCCGAGCCCGCTCGGGGACCTGTCCCGCCACCCATTGGTTGAACACTTCCAACAGGTGGGAAAGGCAGGAAGGTTCAGTGAGGAAGGTGTCGCGCAGATGCTCTGTGGCCCACCCCGATGGCCCTGCTGCTGAAGCTCGAGTGGCTGTATGGATAGCTCTGGCGAGGATGTCGGTCGCGAGTGAAGGCCACTGAGCAGTATCGACGGTGAAATCGCGGACCCACTGTGGTACCTCGCCAGTGCTAGCCGGGTGCTTCTCTCGCAGCGACTGCACCATGGCCTCAGACGGTCGAGCCAACTCCCATGCTGTAAGGCAGGCCAATCCACGACTCCACTCCCCCACTTTGCACCGAGATCAGTACCGTGACAGGTGGATGGCATCCGGGTCCTGGTCAGAGCAAGTGTAGGAAAGTGGGCGAACTGCTGGCCGCGCCGCCACCATGGCACAAATATTCTATTGTGTGCGACAATGGATCCAGTATGGTGAAGGTGGGTAGTATTGGCATTGCGGATTATCGTGCTCGAGATTTCCTACTTACGCACTGTGAGCCTTCTAGGCTGGATTCTTTGGAGAGGAAACGCCGCGTATTGTATTTCCCAGCATATTCGGTCGAGGGATGAAAGAGGATGTTTACGTCGGCAATAAAGACGTGTTCAAGCGTCATAATCTAACGCTGAAGTATCCTATTGAACGCGGTGGAAATACCTTAACTCCTGACTGAAGTACGCACAAGTTTTATTCTTGCTTGTGACCTCGTGTTTTGACTTTTCAGGTATTGTGACGAGTTGGGACGACATGGAGAAGATTTGGCATCACACCTTCTACAATGAGCTTCGTGTCGCTCCAGTGGAACATCCGGTGCTTATGGCTGAAGCTCCTTTAAATTCCGCGGCAAATCGCGAGAAGATGATGGAGATTTTGTTTGAGACTTTCAACGTGCCGGCAATGTATGTCGCCATTCAGGCCGTGCTCTCCATGTACGCCGCCGGTCGAGCCACTGGTAAGTGCTGGGCTTGTTTCTCCGCGCAGTCGCATCTGCACTATCTCTGCTGCAAATCTCCACTTGGTTTCAGGTATTGTTCTGGACTCTGATGATGGTCTGACCCACACTGTCCCCGTCTTCGAGTGTCACGCTCTGCCTCAAGCGATTTGACGGAGTACCTGGTTTTGCTGTTGAGTGAGACGGGTCGCCCCTTTTCTGCATCTGCCGAACGGCAAATTGTGAGGGACATCAAGGAGAAGCTCGCATTTGTTGCTCTTGACTTTGGAAATGAGATGGCTTCACTGGCGACATCTGATTTGGAGAGGAAGTATGAGCTTCCTGGCGGACAGATTGTTACCGTTGGTTCGGAGCGTTTTAGGTTCCCAGAAGCCCTTTTCAACCCAGGGATGGTTGGCAAGGAAGGCTCGGGTATCCATGAGATATGCTACAACAGCATCATGAAGTGTGATGAGGGTGTAAGGGAGGAACCGTATGGCAACATTGTCCTCAGCGGTGGTACATCTTCCCTGCTTGACCAAGGAAGTCACTGTGCTAGCTCCCAGCACCATGAATAAGGTGATTGCTCCACCTGGGCGGAAGTACAGTGCCTGGATTGGTGGATCCATTTTTGCATCTTTATCCACCTAAGAGCAGGTATACCTTGTCTGCGTTTTCTCTTGCTTTATGCCTTTCGTGATTCTTTGAGCTGACTTCCCCTGCATTTGGTGATGCAGGTGAAAATACCCCAAGAGCGAGTACGATGAGGTTGGTCCATCCGTTGTTCAGATGAAGTACCGGGGCATGGTTGTGCATGACGCTAGTTTTTAGTTCACGAGTCAAGAGTGTTCACTTGAACAATTCCAACAAGATCACTGATAGTGAGTTCATATAATTGAACAATGACACCCTTCCTGGACACTCTTGTCTGGTCTCTGGACACTCTTCCTGTGGGATGTGCCCCCCACAGGATGGCACTGTGTGTGTCTGTTGAGAACAGCACAACACACACACCCCCAAGCACAACAAACACTGTGTGTGTCTGTAGAGTGCATAATATTGGCGGGTCTCTACTACATGGGGGTTCACTGTAGGCCTTGCCACTCACTTTCTTATATACCAATCCTGAATCCAGGCTGCATTCTGGAATACATGCACACACAAAGAACAAAAACCAATCACTTCTCGCTCATGGCCTACCTACCGTACCACCACCACTTTCCACATTGCTCATTTCCTCAGCCTGCCTGACCGCCTCCTTCGTCACGTCCCTAAGTTCCGGCTCCACCTCCTCCTCTAAGTCAGGTCTCATCTCAGCACACCTCTCCACACACCGCACTCCTACTCGCACCACCCTCCGCGCTAGCCCCAAATCCCACCGCCCTGCTCTCTTATCCAGCCTGGCAGTGAACAGCGCCACAGCAACTTCCACGTCCCGCGGGCGGCCGGGCGGCATGGCTTGCGCGAGAATGTCATGGACAGAGCGAGAGGAGGTGAACCCAGTGAGCAGCATGAGGAGGAGGATACCAAAGGAGTACACATCGGAGCGAGGGGAGAGCTCAAACGAAGCTATGGCTTCCGGGGCGATGAACCCCACAGTGCCGCGCACGCGGTGGGTCTTGACGGACGTGGCAAAGGGGTTGGCGAGCGCACATGCGATGCCCACGTCGGCAATCTTGCTGCAGTCGTGTGCAGAGAGCAGAATGTTGTCGGGCTTGAGGTCCCGGTGGATCATGGGCGGTTGGCTGCGGTGCAGGTACAGCAGGGCAGATGCAATCTCATGAGCGATGCGCACGCGGTGCTGCCACAGGAGAGGCCGCAGGGCGGGGGTGTCGGGTGCAGGAGAGGGCACAGCAGGAGAGGGTTTGCTACTGCCGTTACTGCTGCTGCTGCTGCTCCTGCTGTTGCCGCTGCTCACGGCGAGTGCTTGTTGTTCTAGTCTCTGCTGGAGGCTGCCCCCTGCCATGTACTCATAGACGAGAGAGCAGTCGTCAGGGCAGCACCCGATGAGCTGCACAATGTGCTCGTGCTTCACACGGCTCAGCACCTCCACCTCCCTCTCAAAGCTCTCCACGCCACTGCTCTCCTCCTCCCCCTCCGCCTCCCACACCATGCCCCCTCCTCCCCGCCGCTCCTCCCTCTGTTGCTCACCCACTCCCACTGATCCCACCGCCCCCGCTGCTCCCGCTGCAGCGCGGGCCTTCATGCGTTTGACAGCCACAGCAACGCCATCGTCCAGTTCCCCGCGGTACACAGGGCCGTACGCGCCCTGCCCCAGTAGGCGGTCGGGGTGGAAGGACAGGGTGGCGGCAGCGAGATCTTCGGGTGAGAAGAGGCGGCAAGGGGGGTGTGCGGACGAGAGGCGCAGCTTCACCCGCCGCCACCGCCGCCCGGCCCTCCAGCCTGGAGGCGCGTTGCTGCTTGCACAGCTGCTGCTGCTGCTGCTACCGCCGTTGCTGCTGCTGCTGCCGTTGCTGCTGCTCATTGTGCTGCTCTTGCCTTGAGTGCTGCTACTGGTGGTGCTGGTGCCGCAGCTGTTCTGGATGGCAGCGGCAGCTCCTGTGGAGGTTGTGCGTGTGCAGTTTTGGGGGAGAGGCTGCTGAGTGGCGGTGGGGGTCGTGGGGTTGCTAGGAACGTTTCGTGTGGGCGCGGCGTCAGAAGGATGGGCGCGGGAGGGGAGAGCTGAGCGAGCAGCAGCAGGGGAGGTGCGAGAGGAGGAGCGTGAGGGGAAGAGGAACGAGGAGGGACGGATCGGTGGGAGAGAGAGCGCGGGCATGCCTCTCTCACCATTCCCCCTGCTGCTGCTACTAGCGCTCGTGTTATCAGCAGCACCACTGGCATCGCATGCAGAAGAAGATGAGTCAGCAGAGGAAGAGACGGAGGTTGAGGAGGAGGAGGCAGGAGGGAAGGGTTGGTCCATGAGCATTACCCTGCGACTACCCATGTACCCGTTGCTGCTGCGAGGCCTGCCACCGCTGTAGCTGCTACCGCCGCTGCTGCTGCCGCCGGCTCTGCTGCTCGTCCCACCCATACTGATGGATCTCAGGGTACCCTCGCTGCCACTGCTTCTCATGTTGCTGCTGCTGCTCGTGCTGCTGCTGCTGGGTGGTGCCTTGTTCTGGCTGGCACTCCCGTTGGGTGCTGCGTGGCTGTGCCTGGTGGAAGAGTCCTCGTGGGAGCGGTGGGGGGCATGCTGCGAGGGCAAGCGCAGGTTCACATTCACGCTACGGCTCAGCGCTCTCACCATGCTCATGCGCGCCCCCGCCACTCCCGCTCCCACCACCACCGCCACCGGGCCCCCCTTGCCTCCCTTGCTTCCAAACCACCCGTCCCCTCCTCCCCCCATCGCCTCCCCCATCCCTCCCGCACTCCTCTCACTGCACATGCTTCTCGTGCTGCCAGCAGCACTGATGGTGCTGACAGTGCCCCATGTGTCGGTGGTGATCCCAGACAGCACGCTGCTCCGGCTGCCCGTGCTCCTGTGCCGCGGATCGCTGCCCTGGCTGCACGCGCTGCAGCTGCCACTCACACTCGCCGTGTCGTCACATGCGCATGTACATGGGCACGTGCATGCATCGCCAGTGCCACCCTCACACGCACCACATGACATGACACATGACCTGTCATTGCCATCCCTCTCCTCCAGCCTTCCCATCGAGTTCAAATCTGTGCTTGCCTTGGCGTGCCACCTGTGCGAGCACTCTGTCTCTGCAGAGATCGTGGATATGCGTTCGCTCACATGCCCATTCCCATGCCCATTCTCATGCCCATGTCCCAGCTCGGCACCACCAGCAGTGCCACCGCCTTGTGCTGACACCACACCCTGCCCTCCCGCACCACGCCCACTGCCGCTGCCACTACCAGCCGCGCTGCACTCTGTACACGCACCGCCATGGGCAGCTGCAGGGGTATGGCGGCATGGGGATGATGACTCGTGTGGCGTCTCCGCAATGGGTGCACACGGCCCCAGCAGCCAGTGCTGCTCTGCTCCATGCTCTGCTGCCCGCGCTCCCTCCCATGTCTTGTCACTCTTTGACCTTGCGTAACGAGCCGCATGACTCAAACCTGCCTCATCTCCCTTCTCTGCCCCCTCCGCCTCCTCTCCCCTCTCTCTCCCCCGGCCTACTCTCTCCCTCATTGACTGTGCTCGCACCGCACAACCTGGACCCCTTGCCCCTTCGCCCTCTCCTCTGCCACGTGGCATGCTGCCATTTGCTGTGCCTGACGGCTGCAAGCATCGCTGTGCTGGTTGCGCTCCCGGCATGTGCTGTCCGTTGCTGGACGGTGCTGCTGTGCTCTCCTGTCGCTGAAGAGAGAGTGCTGACGTGGCATCCACTTGGGCAGTAGCTGCTGACGTGGCAGGCAGGTTGGAGGTGGTTGTGGAGGCGGGAGGAGGGTGAGGCGAGGGGGAAGTGGCAGGCGGGCGATGGAGGTGAGAGGTGGCCCTGTTGGGCCGAAACGCCTGATGGGGGCAGAGGGCGGGATACATACAGCAAGGGATGAGGTACGACAGAGACCAATGGCACGGGCGTGGACGTGGGCATGGGCATGTGCGAGAATATTGGAAAAGACAGTACCATTCTCGCGTTGCACACACGCACAGGGACCAGCACCCTAAAGTGTGTGTGCCTTGTGCCACGCCCCTGCAGCACCTCACGCCATTCCCGTTGCACCCTCTACCCAGCACACCACGTGAGCCCCAACCTCCCTCTGTCAGCCCCTCGCACCTCGCGTGCCCCGGTCACCCTGCGTGCCCGGTCACCCCGCGTGCCCTGCTCACCGCGCGTGTCCTGTGTGCGGGCCAGTTCTCGAACGTGTCCAGGGATGTCGCCCGGCTCGCCACCACTCGCCGCCCCAACTTGCCCGCACCAGCAGCAGCAGATGCAGAGGTGTCATTGGAAGCACGGGAAGCAAGAGGGCCGGTGACCATGCTCTTGCTGCGCGGCATCACACGGCTCCCCCTCCCTGCCCTGCTGCCAACGCCATCCCCCTCGCCTGCTCCTCCCGCCTCTGCTGCCACGTCTGCTCCCCTCCCCGCATCAACACTCCCTTCGCCTGCCTTCGCCCCCTCCTCACTCCCCGCGCCCTCCCCGCCCTCCTCCTCCTCGTCCTCGTCCTCGTCGCTCAGTTGCTGCAGCTCCTGCATTAGCATCAGCCGCGCAACAGACGCCGCCGCATGCGCGTGTACGTGCGCCGCGTGCGATGCGGCCGCTTCCGCACCCACTTCCCCTTTCATTCCCCCCCCGCTTCCCCACCCAGCCTCGTCTCTGCATGCTCTGGCCTGTCCCTGCCACGCCGCCCTCCCCCGCTCGCCCTCCGCACATGCCACCCGTGTAGTCACCCGCGCTGCTTCACTCGCACCCTCCCCGCAGACCGCTTCAATCACCACCTCCCCGTTACCCCTCTGCTCCCCACCGACTCCGTTCCTCCCCCCTGTGACTGCTGCTGCTCCTCCCCTCCTCCCCTCGCACTCCTGTTCAGACGCTGCGCGCCCTCCTCCATCTTCCCCGCCCTCCCTCACGCCTCTTCCCTCCGCCTCCGCACCGCCCCTCTCCCCCGCTCCGTCCGCCACCACCAATGCCCCCCGCTGCACTGCCCCTTCGCTCCCCGCGCTGCTCCTTTCCGCCGTGAGCCAGCGCCCTTCAGCGCCGTTCCCCCCATGTGCTTCTCTGGCGTTCCCCCCATGCACCGCGCTCCTCTCCCTCCCGCTCTGCTCCGTGGACGTCACAGCCTCGCCGCCAGCCCCACCGGCACCAGAAGCGGCAGCGGCAGCGGCAGCACCAGTGGCAGCAGCACGCTCGCCAGTCGCGTGCGTCCTCCCTCTAGACCCGACAGTTGCTGCCGGCCCTCTGCCCCGTTCCGCGCCGCGTGGGGTACTGTGCGCGGCGCTGCTGGCTTGCGCCGGAGGCGGAGCTGCTGCTGCGGGCGGGGAGTAAGGGAGAGATGCAGGCGGAGCACGCGCGGGGGGTGGCGGTGTTGGCGCAGGTTGGGTGGGGGGCGACGAGCGCGCGGGAACGGGTGGGGACAGCGCATTCGGTGGCAGGGAAAAGGAGTGCATGTAGCTGGGAGGGCGCGGGGAAGACGGAGAAGCGGACGGCGGCGGAGTGGCGCGTGGCGGAGAAACGGGAGGAGGAGAGGCGGATGATAAGGAGGGCGGAGAGGCGCGCGGAGAGGCGAGCGGAGAGGCGCGCGGAGAGGCGAGCGGAGAGGAACGAGGAGACGCGCGCGGAGCGGCGGATGGCGGGGCTGGGGAATACGGTTGGTACGAGCCTGGGCATGCCTGCGCGCACGAATCACTCCGCGGACCATCGGCGCTGCTCTGCGCGCCGTCCGTCGCGACAACCCGCGCCCTCCCCCTTCCTGCCTCCGCGCCTCTTCCTCTCCCCCTTCCTCGCGCTACCATCCCTCCGCCCCGGCCTGCAGCGCCCGATACCGCTGTCCCCGCGCCCCGTTCCGCCGTGCGCGGAACCACGCACGACTGCGCGCGTCTGAGCGCCCTCTCCTGTCCGCCAGACGCCTCAGCGAATCTATTCCCCCCCAACGCCTTGTCTCCGCTTGGAAATCTCCTCTGCACGCTATCTAATTCCCTCGCCGGCTGTAGCGGCGGGCCTGAGTGTGGATTGCCGGCTAGTTGCGGAGGATGGTGACTGAGGGGTGCTATCGCGGGTTCGGGTCGAGAGACGGGGACCCTTGTGCGGGAAGCAAGGGACTGCTGCGACAGCTGCGATTGCTGTGAGTGCTGCGACCGCTGCGGCTGCGTCGACTGCTCCGACTTCGCTTGTTGCAACTGATGCGACTGCTGCGATCGCGATTGTTGCGATTGTTGCGACTGATGCGCTTCCTGCGATTGATGCGCCTGCTGCAACTGCGACTGATGTAACTGTTGCGATTGATGCGCCTGCTGCGACTGCTGTGACTGCGACTGATGTAACGACTGATGCGACTGTTGCGGTGGAAGTATGGACTCGTCGATGGGCCGGCATCCCTCTGAGCGGCTAATAAGAAGAACGGCGTCCGTGAGGCCGCGGGTGGGGATGATGCGCGCATTAGGAGCAGCGCCGGGCATAGAGGCAGTCATGGAGTTACGCCGACACAGCTGCTTGCCACGTGCTGCTGGTGCCGCTGCTGCGGCTGCAGCTGCCTCTCTGTGCGGCACAATCCGCGCCACACTCCGCGCGGCTTCGGTACCACCATGTCGTTCACCCGCCCCAGCCGACCCCTCCGCTTGCCCCGCTTGCCCCGCTTGCGCCCTTGGAATGCCCCACTCGCGCCGTTCCTCCCGCCCGCCCTCGCTTAGACGGCGCTCCCTAGCAGCGCGGGGCGACGCACTCGCGGAGTGGGGATTGGCGCTGCTAGTACGTTGGGCGCCGGCGGCGGAGCTAAGGGCTGCGGGAATGGGGGGCGAGGCGGGGGAAAAGCTGTGTCGGCGGGCGCAGTTGCGGGGGGGAGTTCTCCGACTCGGGGTGGAGGGAGAGAGGGGAGGGCAGCTAGCTGCTGCAGTCGACACGTCACTCCCGGCGAATCTAGGTGATCGCACAGAGCCTCCCTCTGGTGGTGCGTTCCGCCTAGGGGAGCGCGCCCCAGCTGCTGGAGGGCATGGCCGCACGGCGGTGTTCGCGCGAGGAGAATGCGGAAGGAGTGGGCCGTTGGGATGCTTGGGAGAAACGCACGCGGCTTGCGGAGCATCGGTGGGCGAACAAGAGCCGTCCATCCGCGCAGATCAGACTAGTATATATGACTGCGAACCTTGCGAACCTCTGATGTCGATCCTGTGTCAATGTGTGTACACATTAACTCGCTCTCACGTGTCGACTGCGAGGTCAATCACTCTATAAAGGCTGTTAAGATGGTGTGCATTGTATGATATGGTATGACTGGGTGCTATGGTCTGGTGCGTGCGTGATGCGTTGACGCTGACACAGCAAACGCTGAATAGCTCTGGCAGCCGAACTGCAGAGTCTGTGAGATTCCAGAGGGGAGAGGTGCTGTGTTCCCTGATGCCTAGGTGAGAGCAGTGCTGTCAGTGTACTCCGCGAGTGTGAGTGAAAGTTGGAGAAGGGAGGCACATCCAATCCAATGCCAGTTCACTTGGGTGTTGGTGGTGTGGTGTCTGTCTGTGATGCACTCCCACCTTGCACAGGTGACTGACGGCCGTTACAGTACAGCAGGCTTGATTGGGAAGAAGAGAGACATCACAGCCTGCTGTGGTGTTGACTACAGTAGAGAGAGACATCACATCACAGCCTTGTCCTTGTGCTAGGTCTTCTTCAGATGAGGTCTGTGTGCACAGTGCACCCGAGCAAGTCTGCTGCGAGCCAAGCCATTTGGCTTGGTTTGGTTGGAGAGACGAATGACCATGTCGCTAGGCAGTACAGTAGGCTCAGCATGGGTACTGCCCCAGCAACGTGTTGGTGCTTGTCCTTTCCCTGATGGTCGTCAAACGTTGAAACCACCATCCATACATGTCGCTTCACACCCACTTCAAGGGAAAGGTCTGCAATCACACGCACTTTTCCGGCGCACTGTATTACTGCACCGTATAAGGTGTACACCATGGTACGGGTGCTGTACCATGGGAAGTGTGGGATATTGTACAAGGGAGAATATGCCATTTGTAACCATCATGGGACTCGAAAACATGTGTGGTAAAAAAATAAAGGGTACGGTCACTGCAAAGGGTGTTTTCACGCGACTCATAAAGCGTTTCACGGAATCAGTCACAATCAACTGGTAAAATAAAACGCGAATGGTCACGGGTGAAACTCCCGCCAAAACAAAATGAAACCCAAAAAGAATCTGGATGCATTTTCGGATTATCAACCCTAAACACGTAACTCGCCAGGTGTTTAGGGTTGATCCGTTCCCAAACCGCACCCGATTCCGATTGGGTTTTAGTTTTTTTACAATTTCGCAGATTGGTTGGGCGCGAGCGTGAATTTTGTTAAGTTTCAAGTTTTTTTGGCGGGAGTTACATGCGTGACCATTCGCGTGATTTTTTTTCCAGTTTTTAGTGACTGAATCCGTGACCCCGCTTACCAAACCCGTCAGAAAACCCGATACAGTGACCGTACGCGTTTTTGTTTTACCATTCACGTTATCGAGTCCCAAGTTGGTTACTTGTGGCATATTTTTGCGGAATTCACTCTACAACGGTAGTGAGCTAGACTACGGGGGTTGGTACGAACTACTAGGAGTGATCGTAGCTTTGCTTGGTTCCTTAGTGCTTGCACATTCACGGGAGAGATTGACAAAAGTTTCCACTAGCAAAGTTAGAGAATTCCAGAATGATCAAAGCAAGTAATGACAAGAATGACTACATCAGACACCTAGCAACCCTGCTGCTAGCCTCGTCGATCGCCAGCACAGCTCAGTCGATCGCCTGCCAGAGTTGCGTAGAGGAGCCGCGCCAGCACTGTCAGAACATTATAGCTTATGCTTTTGTGTAGGCTGTGGTGGGGTATCCCATAGGGGGTACAACCCAATTAGGGTTAGTACTTGTACCCACTTCATTCATAGTTCATTCATTCTCGTTTCAGTTTTCTCATGGTATCGAGCAGGTTCCCTCGTGGGAACTGTTCCTAGGGCCCTACTACTGCTTCCGCTGCTACTCGATCTGTCGCACGCCCCGTGGCGTGCGACCTAGCGCGCGGCGATTTTCTTTCTGGCGCGCGCCCCGAGGCGCGCGGCCCCGCTACCCCGTCGCGCCGCCCTAGCGGCCGCGTCGCGCCGCCCTCGCGGCCCCGATCTGCCGCCCTAGTGGCCTCGTCACCTACCTCTGCGGCCTCAGCCCCGCCCTTCCCGGCCCCGGCTCCGCCCTTCCCGGCCCCGGCGCCACCTCGGCTGGCCCCGTCGCCTACCCCGGCGACCCCGACGCCGCCCTTCCCGACCCGGCCCCGCCTCTGCTGGCCCCGTCGCCTGCCCCTGCGGCCCCGGCTCCGCCCTTCCAGGCCCCGGCGCCACCTCGGCTGGCCCCGTCACCTACCCCGGCGACACCAACGCCGCTCTTCCCGACCCGGCCCCGCCTCTACTGGCCCCGTCGCCTACCCCTGCGGCCCCGGCGCTGCCCTTCCCGGCCCCGGCGCCACCTCTGCTGGCCCCGGCGCCGCCTCTGCTGGCCCGGACGCCTACCCTGCGGCCCCGGTGCCACCTCTGCTGGCCCCGTCGCCGCTCCACCCGGCCCCGCCGCCGTCCCCAAGCGGCCCCGCCGTCACCACCGAGCCGCCGGCGCCGCCGAGCTAGTGACGAGCCACCCGAGCCACCCAAGCCGCCCGAGCCGCAGCGCCACCTCAGCCGCCCGAGCCGCCGAGTCGCCGAGCCGCCGCGCTGCAGTTGCTGCCGAGCCGCCGTACCGCTGAGTCGCCCGAGTCGCCCGAGCCGCCGAGCCGCAGTTGCTGCAGTGCCGCCGTGCCGCTGAGTCGCCCGAGCCGCCCGCACCGCCGAGTCGCCGAGTCCCCGAGTTGTCGAGCCTGCTCTTCCCACCACTGGCGGCGCTACTACTGCTACTACTATTGACGGCGGCCAGATGCAGCTCCAGCGACCCCCACGCGCGTCTCTCCGCCCTAGCAGCTTCGTGAGTGGTACACTCAGAGTGGAGGGTCTCTCAGTTCTGTTCGCTGCTCTTACGTGATTCGCACTGGTGCTCGGACTGGTCAGCCTTGTGGGACGCCTAGTCACACACAGTCCCGCTGCTTTGCCCGTCTGAGCGACGCCTGGCGTACCGAGTTTGGCGACGAGGCTGAGCTCCCCGACTGGGTGGAGTTGCTTAGGCAGAGGGTAGATATATTTGCTCTTGACTATGATGCTATTCTCACTGCCATGTATGCATTGCCTACTAGTGCTGACCGTGCCGGTCACCTGTGCGTACCGCCTGACCCGGGTATCGAGCCTGCTGCTCTAGCTGCTGGTGAGGCTGCTGCTCTGGGTGCTAGTGTGTCTCCTGCTCCAGGTACAGGTGCGGGTGCTGCTCTAGGTGCTAGTGAGTCTGCTTCCTCAGGTGCGGGTGAGTCTGCTCTCTCAGGTACCGCATCGGCTCCGGCCTCTCACACCTTCACCCTTGACTCGGGGGCTTCCCGCTCCTTCTTTCGAGACCGCACCACACTCACGCCGCTTGGTCGGCCAGTTGCAGTCTCTCTGGCAGACCCCTCTGGGGGCCCTGTCCTTGCTCACTTCTCCACTGTCCTCCCGTGTCCGGCGGCCCCCTCTGGCACCCTGTCTGGTCTTTACCTCCCCTCGTTCTCTACGAACTTGGTGAGTGGTGCTGACCTGCAGGATGCGGGTGTTCACCAGTTCACTCCTGCGAGTCAGCGGGTGACCCACTGCACGGACGCTCGGACAGGCCGACACCTGGCCATGTTTAATCGTCGGCCGGGGTCGAGCCTGTACACACTTACCACTGCGTCTCCTCCAGTCCCTGCATCTGGTCAGGTAGCTGCATCGGGTCAGGTGTTTGCTGCAGCGTCCAGGTCTGGTCCTGAGTTTGCCCCCTGCTCGTGTCGCCTCCTGTCTCACGAGACTCTCCTCTGGCACCACCGCCTTGGTCACCCCTCCCTGCCTCGTCTCCGAAGCATGGCCTCCCGTGTCCTTGTCTCTGGTCTTCCCCGGTCCCTCCCTCCCCTTCCTCCGGGGCCTGGCCCTACCTGCGTCCCCTGTGTCGAGGGGCGGCAGCGGGCTGCCCCTCACTCCTCCCAGTTTCCTCCGACAGAGGCCCCGCTGCAGACGCTTCACATGGACGTGTGGGGCCCGGCCCGCGTCCGTGGACAGGGTCACGAGCGCTACTTCCTGCTGGTGGTTGACGACTACTCGCGTTACACCACAGTCTTCCCCTTGCGCAGCAAGGGTGATGTCACTGAGGTGTTGATCGACTGGATCCGCGCAGCTCGTCTCCAGCTCAGGCGGAGCTTCGGCTCAGACTTTCCTGTTCTGCGTCTGCACTCTGACAGAGGCGGAGAGTTCTCCTCTGGCCTTCTGCGAGCCTACTAACGTGCACGAGGCATGCGCTAGACCTTCACGCTTCCGGACTCTCCACAGCAAAATGGGATTGCTTAGCGCCGCATTGGCATGGTCATGGACGTCGCCCGTACGTCCATGATGCATGCGGCTGCCCCCCATTTTCTGTGGCCGTTTTCGGTCCGGTACGCGGCGCATCAGATCAACCTTCAGCCCAGGGTCTCCATGCCGGAGACCTCCCCTGCTTTGCTGTGGACGGGGAAGGTTGGCGATGCGTCTGCGTTCCGTGTCTGGGGATCTCGGGCGTTTGTTCGCGACTTATCTGTGGACAAGCTGTCCCCTCGTGCTGCTCCTTGCGTCTTCCTGGGTTTCCCCCCTGACGCGCCAGGGTGGCAGTTCTACCACCCCACCTCTCGCCGTGTTCTGTCCTCCCAGGACGTCATGTTCGACGAGTCGGTCCCCTACTACCGTCTCTTTCCCTACCGCACTCCGTCCCTCCCCCCGCCACCGCCCTTCCTTGTGCCAAGTCCCCCCCCGGCAGACCCCCTCCCCCCTCAGGGTCCTGCCCCTTCAGGTGTGTCCCAGGTAGACGCTGTCGAGCTTGTCGAGGTCGCTGGTGACTCTGGTGCTGCTGAGGATGCTGAGCCAGGGGGTGCTGACTCTGGGGGTGCTGAGTATGTGGGTACTACGACTAGGGGTGCTGAGCCTGGGGGTGCTGAGTCTGGGGGTGCTGAGCCTGGGGGTGCTACGCCTGGGGGTGCTGAG